ATAGATAGATAGATAGATAGATAGATAGATAGATAGATAGATAGATAGATAGATAGATAGATAGATAGATAGATAGATAGATAGATAGATATACACTATACTACACTATGTTACTACACTATATGGATAAGGGTTTATGGACCTAAACACATTAAATGTCCCACTCTACAACCATCTTTTAACTGAACCCTTTCTTCTGTAAAGTAAAAGATACTGGCTGCAAAGTACTGGGTCAAATAATAAAACTATTTGAAATAAGTAATTGATAAACAATGATTTCACATAGCAACAAGTCTGAGTATGTACACCACAGAGCTGTTTGGTAATGAACAATATACATTAAAAAAATGAAGTGAGACCAGAAAGTGATGCCGAACAACTCACTGTCTTTGTATAGGGCGCCAATGCCCAGGAAAACAACGAAGCTTGCGAGTGCCAGCAGAGAGAAGAAAATCCCAATGAGCATGAAAAACCTGAGGCCTTTCAGCCAGGTCCGCCAGTAGTCCTGCAGGTACATGATGTGAGTGATCAGGGTCCAGAGTGCCAACACACCTGAAGGAAGAGACCAGGTACAGACAGCAAAGTTAGCTTTCAGCTTCACGAGTCTGTTTAAAAGGCAGAGTACTACAGGTTTTACATGATATGATCCACCTTCTTGCCATTTTCTAATAATATGTAAATGCATCAACACATTTCCACATTATTACACTTTTTTTAATTTTGTTGTTGCACTGTAACAGAGCTGCAGTTGTTGTGCACATATTCAACTCCTCTCTGATTCAGATTTAATGCTAAAGCTCTTGTTTTACTAACCTTTAAGCCTTACGTCAGGACTGGTGCTGAAAACTAAGTCTGACTGGAGGAGGAAGTCTGAATATTACAGTGAGACTGGCTGAGAATCTGTATTTGGTGGTATCTATAAGAGTTCTGATTCTCAAGTGTTTGATTTCAGTTTCCTTGAGTTCATCAGTGGGGAAAAGATTAAAGATTAAACTTGTGTCAAGTACGTTTTAAACCTCTTTGAGTTGATGGCAGCTTGGAAATTTGGAAAATACTCTGAGGGACCAATTTGTGTCCCAAAGAGGAAAACATCCTTTACAATAACAGCTCCTCACTTCTGGAACATTATTCTAACTTTGAATGTAACCTTAAAGCCATCATACCTAGCTGTTTTCCTTATGCTCACATTTTCTTTTTGTTTGATTGATTTGTAATTCATACAAGCTAACTGTATGTTCTGTCTAATATCAACTGTTTGCCTAGTTTTTGCTCACTTTATCCTTTAATGACTTTTATGTTTTCAAAAAGTAGCTAGGAGGCAGATTCTGCCTCAGCCATTTGGCTAACGCTGGCACATTTATGGTAACCTTCATTAATGCAGACGGTCCCTGACAATTAACACTAACATTAAAAATGTGTAGTAAACAACACACTTACAGCTGAACTGAACATACAGCCATGTGAAAGAGCCTGTGAAAAACTAAGTACACCTCATGATTCAGACGCTTGTAGCACCACCCACAGCAGAGATAATTTAAAGTAATGGTTTTCATTATGAAGTTGTTAGTCACTAACATTATTTGGAAGGAATTCTGGCCCACTTTTCTTTGTTTGCTGAGTTCATTGAGGTTTTGGGGTATTTGTTTATGCGCAGCTTTCTTAAGGTCCTGCTACAGTATTTTAATCAAGCTGAGGTCTGGACTTTGACTGGACCATTGCAACACCTTAATTCTTTTCTCTTTCAGTCATTGCGTTATAGATTTGCTAGAGTGCTTGGGAACTTTGTTGTACTGCATAACCCACTTTTAGCTAAGTAACACACGAGCCTTCATATTTGACTCTAGAATACCTGGGTATACAGAGCAGTTCATGGTTGATATAGTGACTACAAGATGCTACTTCAGGAGCTCAGGTCCTATGGCGGAAAAAACCCTAATCATCAACCTTCCAACTGCCATGCTCAACAGTCGGTACGAGGTGTTTGTGCAGTGCATTATAGCCAAACATCTGCATGTGCTTTTTAGTGAAAAGAGGCTTTCTCTTTGTATCCCTTCTAAATGAGCCATACTTGTTCAGAAACTCCTTTGAGTTTGAGTCTAACCTTATTGTAAATTTGCTGGGGTGTCACTTCCGGAAAGACTTGAAAGCTCGATCCTAGAAAATTAACAAAACATCTGCTTTTATACAGGTGCTCACACTTGCTGAATCATTTAATCAGATGCACTCTTAATTCATATGGAAGAAGTAAGAGTGTACTTAGCTTTCACAGTGAAAACTGTCTTTTTCACATGACTGCATATACCAGTCATTGAAATAAATTTGACTGGTCATGAACTTTTGTTTGTATAATCAATAAATGCTGGATCATGACACAGCATGCTGCCAAATGCTGAGTCAGTAAATCACACTTCTCTTTTTGTCATTGCAACAGAAGGAAGTGCAACAACTTTTATATTAGTTGAAGATCAGTGAAGATGCACAGGATACACTTTTGCTCTTTCCTGTGGGATGACTCATCATCATGTAAACATGTTTGTGGTCTCACAGGATCAGATTCAGATTTACTTGTGGGTAAAAGAATTCAAAATCTTGATATTATATCAATATGTCTTTTTAAAAGAATGAGGAAAACATGGTATGGTGCAAATGAACCTTTAACTGTTTACTGTGTGCTAGGTTTTTTATATATTTAAAAAAAAAAAAAAGAAGTTGGGATGGACAGTCTGTATGCAAGCATACAACAACAACCATGACTCTACTTCATGTGCTGGATTATTTCTGAAATTGTGTTAATAAAATAACAGCTTTGATTAAAATCAATAGTCCAATTCTTTTCAACGCTGACTGACTGTGAAATAAATCAGGCACGTCAATTACGCCCCAGCCTGATGGACAAAGAAATTGCAGCTCTTCATTTTCAGTTCGATTAATGTGTTACTACCAATGTAATTAGGAATGGTTACTGACTAACTGCACAAAAAGATGACACCACTGTTGTACTTTAACTAGTTTGATCTTTGGTAAAAATGCCCATTTAACAACCGCTAACACTGAGTACGCTACCCCCTATCAGCAGATGAGCGCAGAGGTTTCAGATGCTCATCTGTAAACCTCGATAGAGTTTCAAAGGTCAAATTTCCAGATGCAACTCTTTTATCACCGTTGCACGGTTGTGCACGGGCGGAAGCATTTTTATCTTTTTGGCAAACCTAACAGGATCTAACATTGCAATTTGTGACATCCTGTCAAGTCCATTGTCCATATGTTCACACTGCATGATAATATCTGAACTCAAAGCAGCACAGTCGTAAAGGAAATGCTACTGCTCTAAAACAACAGCCTTTCTTTTGCAATGTTGACATATTTTCCTTTTATTGTGAGTTTGCACAGACATGCCCTTTAACCAGGTGTAAATCTGTACTCGGATTATACTCGGATATACTTGGATTATACATCACGCTCCCTTATTCACCATCAATGTCCACGGTAAGTCATTCATTTGTAGAGACTGATTCAGTACAACCAACATCTGCATGAGAAGGTTGAAAGAAAAAAAAAGTGGTTTTCAGAAATACAAAGTACTGGTGATTCAGGATTGGAAAGGTTTTAAAAATGTCCTTTAAAAACTGACATTGGAGAACGGAGACTCTAATGGTTGATCTAGTAGGTGTCCACCAGTGGGAACAGGTTAAAGTATAAACAACAGGAATGCTATTATACTTGTTAATAAATGATGCTGAAAAAGACTCTTCTACTGTGGATAATGTTATTTGTCTAAATGTTCTGAGAATTAATTCATAATTCAGATGAACACAGAGCGACTTATTTTACTTAGATTTATAGGATCTTGAACATATTTAAACTTTCTATTTAAAAAAGACACTTGTGTAGAAGTTTATGAACATAAAGTGACATCTGATTATTTTAAGGTCTTTAAGACAAACAGTAAATTTAACAACATTTACTGCCGCATTTAGTTGCCGCATGTGTCATAAAGTTAGATGACCTGGCCTTGAAATAGACGTTATACCTGTGACACATCTCTAACTCTACGCTCCCATAAATGCCAATAAATCTCTCATTCACTGCTCCTCACACTCATCACATGTATCGCTGCAGAGAGTGTTTACTTCACCTGACAGTCCCCCCATGGCTCCAGTCCAAGGCTGATTGTACACGAAGTTCCACACCAGAAAGGTTGAAAAGCCCACGATCGTACCAAACGAAGCATAGGCGATCCTCATGTACGTCTTATTGATACCCATGATTGCAAATTTAAAGTTAATAATAAAAAAAATAAAATAAAAATAACAGGCTGTGTGGGGAGAAGCAGTCGCGGGCTGGGCTGGAGGAGAGCCGAGTGTCTGTGAGCTGCAGCAGCAGGAGGTAAGAGCTGGTAATAATAAAATATCTACCTGACAAAAAAAAAGGTCCACGAGGACACAGTGTGACTAAAAAAACGCGTGTGCTCTGCTGGCTAATGGTTAATGTGGTTACTGTGAAACATGACAGCGCGTTTCTGATGAGGGATGTCCTATCCAGCTGCAAAAACACACAGCCTTGCGTTACGTCATCAAGAAATCTGATCATGGTGGGTGGACACAGCAACCCCTACAGGACCACAGAGGAAATTATCTACCTCAGAGCTCTGTGTGTGTGTGTGTGTGTGTGTGTGTGTGTGTGTGTGTGTGTGTGTGTGTGTAAAATAACAGCTGGACGGATTAAAACCCTTTTTAATTTGCATGTTGGATTCATAGGTGATGAATGACAAATGTGTTTTTATTTTATCTGGGCAGATCATAAGTGAAAAAAATAAGAAAATGATCCAGCATGATTTACATGGAGGTTTTGAATAAAATAACGTGCTTCTTGGGGCTGTTATATTAAAATTTTATTTGATCTGTGTACTGCATTTGAAACAGATGGCCACATTGTCCATAGAAACTGCTGGTGTTGGTACAAAGGCTCCTGTCTCGTCTTCATAGGAGAATTCTCCCCATCCTCAGCCATCCTTCATGGGGTCTTTCCCATATTCTCAATCTAAATGCCATCCCTGGGTCAAGATAATCCATTTATACAGTCATGTGGAAAAGAAAGTTGTCACCTTCTAAATCGTCTTGTAAAACACTCAGTAGGCTCTCATTGCTTTCATGGGAATTAAGTGGCTAAATAGGTGTTGCTCATCAAAATAAGACCATGCAATGGTTGCAAAAGCACCATGAGCTACATCTAAGATGCTACAGAAGTTAGCATGTTAAATGCTTAAGTTCATGACAGTACAATCAGAAAAACATTGAACAAGTATGGCTTGTTTAGAAGCTGTACAAGGAAAAGGCCTCTCGTCTCTAAGAAAAGCACATGGCAGAACAGCTTAGGTTTGCAAAGCTGCATCAAAGGGATAAAACCATAAGACAGATAATAGTCATAATGCTGTGAGTTATGTACTGATAGGCTGTTTGGTTTTCTCCAAACAACTCATACTGACTGTCACAAAGCTAGAATAATTTTCCCAAAGTGAGGAGCTGTTATTCTAAAGGATGTTTTCATCTTTGGGACACAAATTCTCCCCTTAGAATATTCTCCAATTTTATGCTGCCATCAATTCAAAGAGTACCATAGGCACCTCTGACACAATGCTATCTTACATACAAAGCACTCCATTGATTGCAGCAGTGTTCTAAACCTGCACAATTAATGTTTTGGCAAAAGAGCACAACAACATTCAGAAGGGCAATGGTATATTTACATATATAAAAATATATTTATTTACAATATATTTATTGTAGAGTCCTAATTTCCACTGCTATGCAGACGATCAGCTCAGTGATCCTACGCCAGAGGTCCTTTCATCGGGCCCAAAAAAGGATTTCTTTTTTTTAATATATATTTTATTTTAAAAACACCACAAATGTCATCCATGCTTTCACATCTTCATGTGTGGACTGCTATATTTCCTGCTTTCAGTGGCTGTAGCCCAGGAGCTAGAGCAGGTCAGCTACTAATCAGAGGGTTGGTGGTTTGATCCCCGGCTGCTCCAGTCTGCATGCAAAATATCCTTGGGCCCAAGTTGCTCTCCGATACATCCACTGGAATATCAGTGTTAGAAAGTGCTTGAGCATAGAAAAAAGTGCTTGCGTGAATGAGGCTATTAAGTGCTTCGAGTGCCCATGCCACTCTAAGTGGTTCACCAGCCACCTGGTGGATGTTAAGAGGTTTACACCAGAAATAGTTGCTCATTTGCACGATCAGCTTGGTAAGAACAGGTTTCGAAAAAGTTAAAACTTTCTGTTACAAACACAGCTGTGTGCCAACCTAGACCTTGCTGCTTCTTCATATCAATTGTATTTACAAAATGTGCAACTCTATAAAAGCATACCAAATATGACCTGGGGTTGAAGTTAAAGGTACATGTAAACATAATGAAGAGTTGTCTGCGAAGGTTCTCAGTCATCCAGGTCATTGTAGTCTAAGGAGCTTGGAAAGAAAAGCGTCTGGACTTCTTTAAGTTGCTTGAAGACGTTTCACCTCTCATCAGAGAAGCTTCTTCAGTTCTAAGGGTCAAAAGGTGGAGAGTCCCAGATTTAAACCCAGTGGGAGTTTCCCCCCAAAGAGGGACAAAAGGACCCCCTGATGATCCTCTACCTAATCACATGAGCCAAGGTGTGAAAACGGGTGTGGGTCACAATCAGGCAGGGTTTCAGGTGAGCTCATTGTGAAACCTGGCCCCACCCTATCATGTGATTTCCTGAGTTCTGGAAGAGTTCTGGAAATCTGATAGATAACAGGAGTTAGAGTCAGAACTGTAGAACTGAAGAACTGCAAGAATAAAAAATAACCTTTATACAAAAAGGGGAAAATGGTAAAAGGTTTTAGAAGACCTGATACAGTTTTATTGTAGCTCAAAGATGAAGATTGATGACTTGAAATGGGTCAAAATGTCAAAGAATGAGCTTTGTAAGGGGTAATGTCAGTTGGACTGACACAGTCAAAAACAGCAGTTGACAATAGTTAAAAGAACTTTAAACCAACACAGAAATATGTTTTTCTCTTTAAACCTTTTTATTTCAAAAACAGTCCAACTCTTTGTTTAACGCTGTACAAAAAGTAATCAAAGAACTGTGCAAATTATTGGTAAACTGATTAGTTCAAAAAAATAATCACAGTGTATGCAGGACTACAGCGTGGAATCATGCAGTAATAAGGAGGGGAAAGTGACAAATAATTGCATGCAAGTCCTGGCAGATTTTATTTTTTTAAAGAAACTAAACTAAAATGACACAAATTAAGAAGTTCAAAAAATACATAAATCTCCAATAAAAAAGTAATGAGAAAGTTACATTTACAATAATGCCAGCAGAAAAGATGACTTTAAAACAAATGTTCAGAGAACATCATGCTAACATGCATTTTCCACATGAAGCCATAGCCTCCTATTTAGTTACTGTGTATTAATGATTTTAGACAAAAACCTGAGTGGAGTTAAGCTATTGATCATGTATACTGAACCTGGAAAGGTTCAGAACTCTTCTGCTCAAGAGTTAAACCAGCAGGATGTTTTTATTGTGAAAAACTTAAAGAAAGTGTTGCATGCTTCAGTAATGCAGTGGAGAAAAAAACTGCACTAACCCATCCTATGTTGGCCGTTAATCTGGCCCAAAGGGGAAAAACAGCATACAACACTAATTTGATGATGTCGATGACAACTTTACATTTGCTGGCAAGAAGTAATAGAAAAAGAACTCGTCCAATTTCTTCTTCATGATCTTGATAATGACGTTGTCACGGTATATACGCTGAACCAGCATGTCTTCTCTGGACAACACCAACAGATCACACCATGATGTGCCTGTAACCATCATCTCTCCCTGGATGTGCCAATAGTATGGGTGATTCTTATTCAACTGTAAGACTCCATTGCGACAGATCAGGAAAGCGCAATCAATGAAGCTCCGAAACTTGACGCATTTAGCATGGACCAGTCCAAAACTGTTGGTCTCATTGGAATCGTACACCAACCCATCAGGGTTCGCCCCCAGCCATGGAGCATTCGGATGAACGACAAAACCACAGGGGTACCAGTTGACGCACATTTGCCGACAATATTGCTGGAAAGCTTCATTTTTTATTTCCTCCTCTATCTGTGCTGCTTTGCTCAGAGAAAATCCTTTCTGAATCTTAAATATCAGATGCTCGACATTGCTTTGTCCCGATTTGAGTTTGCAGATCTCTCTGAAACGGTTGGTCAAGCGCAGCTTCTGCAGTTTCTTTATGTTCTCCCTACAGCCACGAGTGGATTTCTCCAGAGTGTGTGCTTCTTCCCAGGTGACCTGCATGGCATTTACATGTTCCTGCTCCTTGGCGCTAAGTGTAGGAATGGCAGACACTGATTCAAGTTCATGGTGAGATAGAGGAAGCGGCAGCCGAGAGGGAGCATCACTGTTTATCGTATAACCCTGACTTGATGGCACAGGGCACTGGTAGGATAGGAGGGAACCTTTGGGAACTTTACCAGAAGCACAGTCCACCCATTCCACATCTGTTGTGAGGCCCATTTTGGTTATCAAAGGCTTCTGGTCATCAGGAAAGTCCCTGTAGGCTTCTTTGAGCCTTTCAATAAACGACTGGCATTCAGATGGGACAACAGTGGTGAATTTCATGGGCGTCAACCTGTACGACACATAATTATTATCATTATTATTATTATTTTTAGCAAGTTGGGAGGGTGATTATTGAGGTTCTTGCCATTCTTACCTTGGAAATTCTAGCATGGTTTTCTGCAGGGGGCACACTAGCTTCTTCCAAAGAGTTTCACCCAAGGAAAGAAAGAGAAAAGAATTTTAATTGCTAAAAAAATACAAACAAAAGACAAATAAAAGCATCTAAAAGCATAAAGAGTAATTTCTTCACATATTTGCAGATGACACCATTATGGAATCATGTATATTGAGAAAAAGGATTGGCCAACTAACCCTGCACTTTGGTGTGATGACACATTTTTCTCTAAACTTGTGTGAGAGCTGCTTTACCTTCAAAATGAGTGCCACTTATAGCTGTAAGCAAAGTCAGCATCAAGTTATCAAGTCATTGAATCATCAAGTTATTGAATAGATTAACCATTTATCTGGACAAAAAAAAGTAATTCCAAATGCTGTTTTGCAGTACAAAAGACTCCTTACATACACATTTTTACTAACCATCAGACTTGTACTATTTTTATTTATAAAAATTCTGAAGCACCAGAAACTCAGAATGCACTCGCCCGCATTTCATCAATAGAGGCTGTTCCTTTTTGAAACTTACGGCCAATTCATCGGTCAATATCCTAGATCCTTTATGGCAGTTAATTCAGCAGTAATTATTAAAATGGGAAACAAAAGGTTCTCACAGTTGAACAGGAATGGGATTTAATTGAACAAACAAACATGGTGGTTAGAGGGCCTGGTGGCGCCAGTGTCCGGCAGCCTCGCCTCTGTCAGTGCGCCCCAGGGCAGCTGTGGCTACAATGTAGCTTGCCATCACCAGTCTGTGAATGTGTGTGTGAATGGGTGAATGACTGAATGTAGTGTAAAGCGCTTTGGGGTCGGTCCT